GAACTTCGCAAAACTGGCATGTTTTAAATTTTCTGTTAAATGAAATTCTGCAAAATTGCAGAATTTTGCTGATTTTATAGATAAAAATATTCAATTATCTGCGAAGTTGCAAAGTTTGCAGAACTTCGCAGAAATACACAAAAAATGACAAAAAAAAAGCGGAGATCTGCTAATTTTACAGATCTCTGCAGTTCTGCATCCCAAAAAATTTCCCGATGACTATTACATCTAAATCATATGTTTCCAAGTATCCAGATTTTTTATTATTCTTTAAAGTCAATATTCAAACAATATATATTAAAATTAAATGATTTTTTAACTGTTTCAAACTTTCGGTAGTACTTATTAGTATAGATAATAATGAAGGTAATGAAATGGAATTACAAGATGAAATGAACGATAACTAAGGTTGCTTGTCTAAACCTCTTCAAAATCCTACGATTAGTTTCGTCAAAATTTTACTATAGATTTATTATAGTTTCGGCAGAGTTTCAGCAGTTTCGGCATTTATAATAAGTTTCGGCAGTTTCGCCTTTCTCCAAAGTTTCGCCAGTTTTTTAATATAACTTTAATATAGTTTCGGCAGAATTTCGCTTTTCGGCGAAACGCCATCTTGCCTAAACCCCTAGGTTTCGGCAAGCAACTTTAACGATAACGTCGATAATAGTGAAGAAAATGAAGAAAATGTTGATAACTACGATGAAGAAACTGATTATAACTCTCACGACGGAAATGAAGAAGAAAATAACTATGGAGAAGAAACCGATTATAACCATCATGACGGAAATAAAGAAGAAAATGATGATAACTACAGAGAAGAAACTGATTATAACTACCATGAAGAAAGTAACTACAGTGAAGAAAATGTTTATTATGATGATAGTAGCAATATAGAAGACAAGGACAAACTGAAAGATGATTATAATATGGAAGAGAATAATATTATTGATGAAAGTGATAATGTAACTTTTAATTTATTTGTTTGCTCCAAAATAAACTAGATTTGGAGTTGCAGTCACAATCAGACTGGTTCTTACGATCTGAATCAGAATTGATCAATGAACCCATCCCTAATGCTGATGGCATATTTTTTAATGACAATTTTTCCATTTTAAAAGCATGAAGACACTATAGTTGATTCGTCAATAGGTTGTGACCATATGTTGAATATAGATGGAAGGTTTGCACCTTACTTTGAAAATTTGACCTCTGCATTATTATTTTGTTGGATACAGAAACACAACATATGTAAGTCTAATTTTGCTATAACGAACCTATTTGACAATTTATTTAAAAGATTTACACCGATATATAGCAACGCATGCATATAACAACTTGGTAGAAGTACTACACCATCAAAATTTTAAAGTTAAAGACGTTGTAAAGAATATACGAAGGCTTCGGCAATGAAGAAATCGGTTACTATTGATGCCAATACAGACGCACCCTGTTAGAATAAATCCAAAGAAGACGCCATCTACGTCTAAAGGAACAAAGTCTTATTATTATTTGTCAATTTGTGATATTATTCAGAATATATTAAATAATCCGTCACTCTACAATACATTATACTTCAGACCGGAAATAGAATCTGAAGAAAAAAAGGAATATTGGCATGGGGATCTTTGGGCTGAATCACCATTGTTTGGCCAAGAAAAAATAGCCATCAATAGAGGTACTTTCGATTTATTATTATTGTAAATGAAATAAATGTATGTAACTTATCTTATACTTCTTTGGTATTTAGAAATTTATTGACCAAGTGAATTTGTTTTATATATAGAAAATGGTAATCGAAGATTTGGACGAATACGATCAATAATATTGGTCAATGATAAACTTCGGGTAAAATACAACGTACGAAGGAATCGCAATTGTGAATAGTAGATCAATATTTAAAAGAAGGTAGTATTATTGCAAATACTTATGAGATCATTAGAAAAGTTAATATTATGATTATTCATGAAACAAATACTACTGACGGAATTTTTATTAAAGAAATTTTATACAAAAGTAATGGTTATTAGAAAATGCGAAATGTGACGCTAGATTACAAGCATCCAGTTGAATATTTTGTTCTAAGTTTACCACCACTACAATATAAAAATCTACGAGTTTTGAAGATATTTATTGATATCTACTATGATGACTTCAGTACCTATCGAAATGTTTACCATTCCTTAGGCAGAGTTTATGTTCAATTGGAAAATATGCCATTCGATATAAGAAAACTTGTTCACAACCATTTTGTCTTAGGTTTTGTTCCCTTTGGTGGTTGTTTTGAGGATTTCATTTGTCCTTTCATTAAAGATATGAAGCGGTTGGAAAAAGGAATATTGATGAACATCCAAGGAATAGATTGCTGGATCATAGCTAGCCTTGGATGCGTTACTGCAGACCTACCCCAAAGAAACGATTTAGCAGGTGTAAAACGCCATGGTGCGATAAGGGGGTGTAGAATATGTCTGGTCACTAAGGAAAACTCGACAGATCTTATATTAGATATTGCCAGTGTATCCCGTTGTCACCATATTACTGACTCCCAATTCAAAATAATCTTCACAGCTTCAACTCTTAGGCAACAAAACAATATTGCAAAGGAATACAGTTTACAAACTAGATTGCCAATTCTTGATCAACTTCAATGTGAACGACACTTGCAGTCACCACAAGATATTTATCACATAATAGCCAGTAAAACATTAAAACTACTAAAAGTAACAATTTTCATGTTATCTCCAGAAGGTGAAAGAAATTTTATTAGTGTCTGGAAATTATTCAAATACTCTCATCAATGGTCAAAGCTTCCAAATCCCATTAGTCATATCGAAACTTTTATGATGTGACTTCGATTGGGAATGGTAATGCCATTTATTTTAAATAGATCGCTGACCATTAATTGTTTAAAGCCACAAGAAATAGAAAAACTACAAGAGCGAACAAACATGAATTGCAATCAAGTAATTTCTAATATTATTAAGTGCTGGGCAACTGTAGCTAAATGTTCCCAGTTGGCATTTAAGATTTCGTTAACAAAGAATGACTATATAGAGCTTGAAAATTATTTGAATAAAGAACAAAAAGCATTGATTGAGGTAAAATTTATAGTTGTTACGAAAAAAAAATATTATAAATTTCAATTTTATTAGGCCTTTGAAACTGAAAAAGAATAAATTCCTTACATTTGGGTAATTTGGATTCAGTTCTACTAACTATGACTATGTTATACTTATTTATACTTATTACAGTTAATGTTCTGAAAAAAATCTGATCCGATTCGTATCCGCAGATCTGATCTGAGACAGATCGGATCGAATCATAGATTTTATGATCCGTGATCTGATTCGGATCAAATCAAATCAGATCAACAATTCATTCAAATTGGATCAGATCGGATTTGATTCAAGCGGATTCAGATCAGATCCAGATCAGATTAGATCAAAGTGCCCTGTTACGTTGTGAAATGTTAAGTTAAAACGTTTTGCAACATTTTTATTAAAATGATTAAAAACCGTTGCGAAACGGTTTTTTTATTCGTTAAAATGAAATAATACGAAAAGATGCCATTTCGGCATCTTTTTTGATAAAAAAAATGAAAAAGATACTGAAACGGCATCTTTTTTATAAAATAATACGAAAGATGCCATTTTGGCATCTTTTTCTCATAAAATAATACGAAAGATGCCATTTTGGCATCTTTTTCTCATAAAATAATATGAAAAGATGCCGAAACAGCATCTTTTTTGATAAAAAAAATGAGTAAGATGCTGAAACGGCATTTTTTTCATAAAATAATACAAAAGATACTATTTCGGCATCTTTTTTGATAAAAAAGTGAAAAAGATTCTGAACAGCATCTTTTTTTCATAAAATAATATTAAAAGATGCCGTTTTGGCATCTTTTTTGATAAAAAAAAATGAAAAAGATGCTGAAGCATCTTTTTTGATAAAATAATATTAAAAGATGCGTTTTGGCATCTTTTTTTTCATAAAATAATACGAAAGATGCTGTTTCGGCATCTTTTTTAATAAAAAAAAATGAAAAAGATGCCAAAACATC